AATTCTTACAACAAAATCTCTCAGAGCTTCCCCAGCATTTGGCAATTCCATGGTGGCGGAGAATCGGCAGAGACATGTTAGATGCACGAGACAGCAACCCCCATTTATTTCATTCAGTATATATAGGTTTTTATTATACACCTCACAGACACAGAACTGTCTCAGCACTGGAGCTACAGCAAGAGAACTCTATCCCTGTCTCATGGAGCTTGTCCAGAACAAGAGGGAATGGGGCGCAGAACCTTTCAAAGGGAGCCTTAATTGGGTCATTTGAAAATTAATTAATCAATGTGAAAGTACTCAATTATATTAAGAATGGTTTGCTGAACCCCAAGGACAGACTTTACTGACAGAAGGAAAGTTCCAGTGCAACCGTGCGACCCCAATTCCTGAATCTATCCAGCACTTGTAACTAACAAACCAAACCCCAGCCATGTTCTGAACCTTTAATTTACTCATAAGCAAAAAACCCACTTACTTCTAAGACCACAAATAGATGGGAAAATGCTTTCATCCTATTGAGATGTCAATGATATATACCATTTTATACAGATGGTTACAGAGAACAATAAATACATTCTCTGTTTTTACGCGTTAAGTATCAACATTGGTCCATAGGACACTTCTGTTCTGTCAGTCTTTTGCAACTGTTAAGAATTAACAGAAATAATTCCCCCTCACTGTCTCCTTAACTATACTTCCTTCAAGTCAATGTCATCACGGAGTGTCTGGATTTTACAATCTAAGATGCTAAGGTGTTTGTTTTATGTATCACTTTACATAACGTTTTATAAGCAGTGCCAAGAATCTAGACATTGTTTTGTTCTGGGAGAAAGAGGAAATTCCACGGTTTGTTGAACCCAGAAAGTTTTTAGTACATCTCTGCTTTAGAATTCTTTAAATGCATACAGCATTTTATAATTCCAGAAGATGCATTTGAAGTTAATACAAAAAGCTTACATTTCCTCACCATTCACATTATAACTTAACTCTGAGAGATTCTATGAACGAAATGCAATGGATGTAGAAGTTGGACCTTGACAATTTTTTTCTTCATCTGATTCCCAGTGTAGCACAGGGGCATTAAAGAAAACTAAAAACCACAATGAAAATGAAATCTCCATGATCCTATTGAAGTTTTGGGGTGATGGGGGGTTCGTGGGGTCTGGCACCAACGGCCAAGGAAACACTCTTGGAGCCAGCTTTGGTGCAAAAAGGTGATTTTGTGAAAGCATGGGGACAGGACTCATGGGCAGGAAGACCTGCACTGTAAGTGTGGGGGTGACCATTTTATGGAGGCTGGGGACAAAAAGTCAAGAGGGAGTTTGCTAAAGACTTACTGGAGGCCTAGCTATTGCCCAGCTAAGGTTGTTTTTCCCTCTAGCAAGGCATTAACATTGAGACAGTAGGGAGAGCCTGAATTTTAGGCTGTTGATGGGACTGACTTTTTCTGGTAAACTGGTGGAGACTCTCATCAGTTTCACCATTTGGTTTTTTGTCCTTTCTGGTTTTGGGGTAGGTGGAAGTGTCCAAGGAATATCACACATGTCCCACTGTGGGAGAGAGGGGTGCTAGTTTGTGTTTTGCCCTCAGCCTGCCTCATACTCCCTCATCACTATCACCATTAGTTAATTCTGGAATATTTTACACTAATTCCTCTATGAGAATGCCAAAAGCCAAATACTTTATGGAGGTTTTTTTTTTTTTTTTTTTT